GTCTCCATTGGACCGTCCCTACTGGGAACTTTGACTCCTTCCTGATCCAGTACAAGGATGCAGATGGCCAACCCCAAGCGTTGCCTGTGGAGGGAAGCCTCAATGAAGTCACAGTGACCAACTTGGCTCCTTTACGTAGATACAAGTTCAACCTTTACGGAGTCTCTGGACGCAAGCGCTCCAGCCCCCTCTCCACCGATGCCACCACAGGTCAGCTTCACAAGTCATCTTGACTGTTTCTGTTCAACTCTTGTGCCATCATGTAAACATTCTTGGTTCCTTTTCTACGCAGCCTTGTTGCTGAATGTTCCTGTTGCTGGAATGCATTTCCAACAAGCAGTTCTAACCAAACCTTTATTTCCATATTTCTCTTTTAGCTCAAACCACAGATTCAGGAGAGGCAATTCCCGTCCAAGCAACCTTGGGAGAGTTATCTGTCCTGGACATCACTAGCAATTCTGTCCGTCTCCATTGGACCGTCCCTGCTGGGACCTTTGACTCCTTCCTGGTCCAGTACAAGGATGCAGATGGTCAACCCCAAGTGTTGCCTGTGGAGGGAGGCTCCCGTGAGGTCACCGTGTCCAACCTGGCTCCTTCCCACCGATATAAGTTCCTCCTCTACGGGGTCTCTGGACGCAAAAAGACCAGCGTCCTCTCCGCCAATGCCTTTACAGGTCAGAGATAGTAAGAAGTCCATTGGAAACTTTCTGATTCTGTACTTCCATTTTTAATTTTTTTAAAAAAATGTACTCCATTTTAACTTTTCTTGAGTTCTTTCTTCTACTCCTGCTGCTGAAATAGTCACATCATCCACGTTCACTGTTTTTCCAGCATAAGGTTTTTAACTTCTCTCTTTGTGGGTTTCCTTCCTCCTCTAATGACACATAGGTGAGGATTTTTCTTCCTTACAAATTGTCCATCTGATATCATTTCATAAGGATCCTTCATTTCTCCCTATAAATAAAGAAGCATCTTCTTGTAGTCCTTTGCATGAAGCCTCCTGTTTTTTTAAACACATTGTCAATGCTGCTAACATTGGATGTTCTTGCTTTGACAACATATGGAGATGCAGCCTTTTTCTTCCTTGTACTTTACTCTTCGAATTAGATGATTGGGGGAGGGGGAGGAATGTGATGGGAGTTAGTTAAACATACAATATTGTAATAAGAACTGATAAGGGATGGCGGGAGAAAGACCTGGGTGAAAAGCCAACACTTCAAACTAATTGGAGAATGTGATTTATGACTGTGGGAGGGAATTGCGCTTTGATCTATGTGCTGAAGGGAGGGGAAGTCAGATTCTGGCTTCAGTTATGTATGTGCCAAAGCTATGCTGCTCAATTCAAGATTTTTTAAGGTAAAAAATGCCTCAAAATTCTTTAAAAAGTTTCATTTTTCGGAACCATGACACACATTGCTGCCTTACTTAATTTTCCTTAGCACTGTTGAAGAGTTGTACTAAATGACTTATCTTTTGTGGCTGCTCCCTTCATCTGATTTAGACCCACCTTCAGAGGCAGAAGATGCAATTCCTGTCCAACCTAGTCTTGGGGAGCTCTCCGTCCTTGACGTCACAAGCAATTCTGTTCGTCTCCATTGGACCGTCCCCACCGGGAGCTTTGACTCCTTCCTGATCCAATACAAGGATGCAGATGGCCAACCTCAAGCGTTACCTGTGGAGGGAGGCTCCACTGAGGTCACGGTGACCAACCTGGCTCCTTCTCGCAGATACAAGTTCAACCTCTATGGGGTCTCTGGGCGCAAACGCTCCAGGCCTCTCTCTACCGATGCCACCACAGGTCAGTTTCAGCACATGGCATGGCTGGGGGTTCTTCAAATGTTATTCTTACATATTATCATTCTTGATTTTCTTAACTAGCAACCTTTTTGCTGATGGTTCCAGCACTTGGGTCTTATCTCAAAGGCCAGCGAAATTATAAGTTATTTTTTTTCTTTTTTTTCCTTATTTTAGCTCGCCTTACAGACTCAAAGGAGCCAGTTCCTGTCCAACCCAGCCTAGGAGATTTCACAGTTCTTGATGTCACGAGCGATTCTGTCCGTCTCCATTGGACTGTCCCCACTGGGACCTTTGATTCCTTCCTGGTACAGTACAAGGATGCAGATGGCCAACCTCAAGCGTTGCCTGTGGAGGGAGACTCCCGTGAAGTCACATTGACCAAGCTAGTTCCTTCACGCAGATACAAGTTCAACCTCTATGGGGTCTCCGGGCGCAAACGCTCTGGGCCCCTCTCCACTGATGCCACCACCTCAGGTCAGCTTCAGGATTTAGTATGGCTGGAGGCCCTTCAGATATTATTCCTCCATATTCATGTCCTTGATTTCCTTAACAATTTTTTTTTTATTGTTCCAGTTTTTAGGTGTCATCTCCAAGATCAGGGAAATTCCAACTAAGCCTTTTCATTCATTTTCCTGTTTTAGCCCACCTTCCAGATTTGGAGGAGACCAATCCTGTCCAAACCAGCCTGGGCGAGTTCTCAGTCCTTGACGTCACAAGCGATTCTGTCCGTCTCTATTGGACCATCCCCTCTGGGAGTTTTGACTCCTTCCTGATCCAGTACAAGGATGCAGATGGCCAACCCCAAGCATTGCCTATAGAGGGAAGCTTCAGTGAAGTCACAGTGACCGACCTGGTTCCTTCACACAGATACGAGTTCAATCTTTATGGGGTCTCTGGGCGCAAACGCTCCAGCCCCCTCTCCACTGATGCCATCACAGGTCAGTTTCAGATAACCTTCTGCCTGGGAGATTTTAAGATATTGTAACATCATATTAGCCTTCCAGATTTTCTTAACAAATAGCATATTTGCTGAATGTTCAAATTGCTGGTGTCACAGACCCCTCTCCACTGACGCCACCACGTGTCAGCTTCAGGAGTCAATGTAGCTTTTTCATACACCTTTTCAGATATCAAATTATAACTTTAATTTTCTACAGGGAAAATTAAAATTAAAAATCCTTTAAGTTTTTTTCTGTATGTTCTTTAGGGGCACTAAAGATAGTCCTCGACTTACAGCAGTTCATTTAGTGACTGTTCAAAGTTACAACAGTATAGAAAAAAGTGACTTATTATTATTATTATTATTATTACTTTAATTTATACCCCGCCCTTCTCCCGAGGGACTCAGGGCGGCTCACAGGTAAATAAAAACAATACTATACAATAAATATCTAAAAGCCAAATTAAAATATATATTAAACAACCTGTATTAGAAAAATTATAAAATCCCTTTAAAATCCCTATAAAATCCCCCCCTTAGGCCAATCCCACTTGATGGAAAAGCCATGTCTTGAGGGCACGGCGGAAGGAGGGAAGATCCGGAATAATCCGGATCTCTGGGGGGAGTTCGTTCCACAGGGTGGGGGCTCCCACAGAGAAGGCCCTCCCCCTAGGGGTCGCCAGCCGACACTGTTTGGCCGACGGCACCCTGAGGAGGCCCGCTCTGTGGGAGCGTACCGGTCGATGGGAGGCAATCTGCGGCAGAAGACGGTCTCGGAGATACCCAGGTCCGATGCCATGGAGCGCTTTAAACGTGGTAACCAACACCTTGAAGCGCACCCGGAAGGCCACCGGCAGCCAGTGCAGCTCAC